ACTTCAGATGGTGTGTATGAAATTTAAAATACACACACACACACACACACACACATTCCTGATTGACAAGTATAATGAAAATGTCTCATTACCATCTTTTTTGCTTTTCATTACATTGGGCAGCAATATGCCTTGGACTGAAAAGGACAAAGGCAAAACATATTTTTAAAAGGGTTGATTAACAATGTCTATTTGTTTATTCTATATTGAGTTTTAAAGGTATTTAGAGCTTATAAAATATTAGTGAAATTATGGGACTGTAGCAAACTCTGATGTAGCTGATAAAGCCTGGAGTCCAAATGAACGTTTGGCAAGTGTGTCTAAGGTCCTGGAACTCCAGAGATAGATAGTTCAGTTCAGCCCCTGAAACCAATTAAGAGCTTTATCTTAGCATAAAAATAAAGAGGAGTTAAAAATGCATTCCTTTCCCAGCTTTCTTCCCCCTTCATTTTTTATTGTGATTTGCAGTTTTTCTTTTTAAAAAGATTCGGGACTCTGAAGAGAGGGTGGGGATTAATGTAAATAAAGTGTCGTTTACCAGGAAAAAAAATCGCCAATAATGGTGAGTTTCAAGGACATGTTTCAATGAGAAACACTTTGTGCTCCACTAAGGAGAGGCAGGGGCACCAAATTCAGTGTCTTGGAATAATTCCCTTCCTGGATTCAAAGATTCATTTATTGAAATAAATCAGGAAGCATTGGCAGAACGGAAATCCGCTTGCTGGGTTTAAAGGGTCTTTAAAATGTTGCGAGTGTTAGATTGCAAGTCTTTTCTAAATACAAAACAGAAGAAAAGACTGCAGTGTTTCCCTTAGACTTAAAGAAAATTGCTAGGTCTCCGACTTAGGATAATTTCATGTCCACCACAGAAAATGCGTTTAGAAAGAAATCATGCCCGATAATAGAACTTGCTCTATGTGTTTTGTTTTTTAGGGTGCTGGAGTGAAGAGAAAAGTGCTGCAGAGTGGGGCTTTGGGTTGTACAGAGAAACCATCTCTCCTGCCTCTCTGGACATTCTGTTTCATTCCTGCTTCTCCAAGATGAATCTCAAAAATTCGGGCTCAAAAGGTTTGCTCATTTGGCAATGACCAGTTTGTCTAATTTTATTTATTCCTTCAGATTTGGACATAAAAATAAATCTTTTTCTTATTTACTGTTTGAACTTAGTGTGAGGGAAAGGGTCCCATTATATTTTCTATCCATGCAGACATGTGGATATTTAGACCAGACCACATACAACTACGGGACGCATAAAACAGATTTATTAGTTAATTTACGCCGCCTAATACACATGTAAACCCCAGTAAGCCAAAGCTGCCCAGAGAGCCTCGGTTACAGCGTAAAATAGAAACTACGACCCCTGGGTTCAAGCTGTCCAGCTCTGCCCGGCCCAGCCCTGTGCGGCCCGGCCCAGCCCAGCCCAGCCCAGCCCAACGAGCCCTTTCCCCACCTGAGAAGCGAAGAAACTAGAGCTCTCTTCTCACTTGCCCCAGCCTATGTGCAGTAAAAACTTTTCTGTGCTCTCCTCTTTCAGCCATCACTCTGCTCTCAGATTCAGCTCCACAAAGCGCCCTGTCTCCTGAAGTTGTTCTTAGGGTCTCCTCGGAAAAGCTAGTTGAGAGGTAGGGACTTCGGGTAATCAGGAAAACTTCGCATTATCATTACTATTACCTCACGGGAGTGGTTTACCGGGGGCGTCTTTGTTTTCACATGCAGTAACTTGCTGTATGTGGAGATATTTCGATTTCTACCGTATTTCAAGAGTCAGGGTTCCCCCTCCCCCAGAAGGAAACCTCCACCCAAACCAACCTAAATAGAATTCGAAATAGTCTGCCTCTGCCTTGCTGTTCATAAAGCCGCCGGACTGTCGTTTTGGGGGCATCTGCGTTCCCTGCTACGCACCGAGCGACATCTCGTCAGAGTCGCACCCTCTGGTTGGGCCGGGCTGCCGCAGGAAGGGCTCCACCGCCCGCGGCTTTGGCCTGGCTGAATCGCCTCAGGTCGGCCTCTTAACAAGCATCTCCCCTCCCCACTTCTCGGTTGATGATCTAATTGAATTATGCCTTTTTTGTTCCTGTGACTACAGAGCACGTGCTGGAGGCAATTAATTATCGGAATGTGGTCATATCAAAACGGACACTGGGCACGGGGGTAGGTTAGCCGCGGCAACATCGTTCTGCTTAGTGCTCGGGACCCCTCCCTCCAAAGGGGCAGGTTGGGTTCCTTCCACCGCCCTCTTTCCGCAGCCCGACTCCCAAACTCTCAAGGCCCCTGGTTCTAGGGATACCTGACGGTGCTTCCCGGAAACCCTTGGCGAAGCAAGGGCTCGACAGTCACCGCTTGCCCGCCCCCCCGAGCCTGGAGCCTTGAGAATCGCTCTCCTCAGGACAGGCACCGTGAAGAAATCCAAACTTTTTCAAACCAACTACCCGCCCAAGGTCCGTGGGGGTGGGTGGAAGGTGAAGAGAGGTAAAGGGGAAAGCGAATAGAGAGGAGAAAAAGAAAGAAAAGCAATCATCCTTTTTTGTAAATCTGACTCCAGGGAATTCATTTGCATGATTTAGGCGTATTGTTCTCCTCTGAACCCCACTCCCTCCTCCCACCCAAAGAAACACCCTCCTGAGCGACACTGAAACCATTATTGGAGAGCCAGTTTTCAGTAAATGTAATAATTTAAGTTAGCAGTGAACTCACCTTCCAACCTGGGGAGAGAGCTCTGGATGTAGAGGGAGAATTGGGGAGAGTTTGATGGGAGGGGGTAACTACGGTAAGTTTGCTACCGGCAGGGTCTCCCCCTAGCAAACGGGAAAAGAAAGAAGGTGAAATGTTGGCCTGGCCAGGGAGATTGGGGAGCAGGAAGTGAAAGGCTGCAGTTATAAAGCGCTGCTTGAGGCGGTCTCTCCGAGCGCCTCTGAACTTGATCAGATGTTTCCTACAGAGACATGGCGGCCAGGCTGTGAGGCTGCCTCAAGGCGTGGACTTTGGGGCTTGGCCCTGTTAGGAATGTGACAATCACAGCCACCTTTTCTTGGCCTTTTCTTTCTACTCTCACTCGCCTGTATTCTTTGCAAATTTCCTACCAGACAAAAAAAAAAAAAAAAAGTGGATTTATAGCCTTGCCTGAACCTGATCATTATGTCCAGAAAGACTTTGCACCAGACAGAAGGGGGGAGTGATCCCACATACAACCCTGGAAAGTAAATCTTTAATGGATAAGAATTCTCGTTGCTGCTTGGGATAGAATTGGAAGATAGCAAATCCTGGGCTGTTGGAGGGGGATGGGGGGAATTCCATCTCACAGTCTTCATTCCCACCCTCTCCCACATTTGCTTTTGAAAATGTTGAAAATTCGAAGCTAACCCCGTGGTTTGAAAGCTGCATGGATCCTGTTTGTGTCTAGTGAGTTTGCTATATAGTGTGTTTAGTTTGTTGTGTTCATGTTTTGTGTACACCGGCCATGTATATTCTGTGCATATTTCGTATTTATGTTTGTGTGTGTATTTGCTGAGTTAATATGCGCGCGTTTACTCTGTCGAGTGCCTGTTTACTGTTTTCTGTGTAGTCTGTTGTGTTACTGGCTTGCGTGCTTACTGTTATTTTAGTTGTGTGAGTGCTTAGTGTAGTGTGTTCGTGTTTACTGTGTTTCGTGCATGTTTCCTGCTGCGTGCGTGTGTCTTCTGTGTTATATGTTTGTTATGTTGTATCTGGTGCGCCGTGGGCAAGGAGGGCAGCGGCAAGTTATAGCCACTACTCAAAAACTAAAGACTCAACGCTTGGTTCAGACGGAAGAGAAATCAGTTCTAATCGTTTCTCCTTGTTTGGGTATCAAACGGCCGGCAACAGCTCAGGCACAGACGGTGAGCTGGCTGGCCTCATTCCGTGGTCTCTGGACCATCAGGGCCCACAGTGGCATGTAGGGAGGACACAGCTAGTGGGCCGTGAGCGTGGAACTCCTGCGTTCGTCCTGGGATCGGCGCCCCGAAGCCGCCGAGGAGTCACATTCTCGGGGTGGTGAGGCACCGCGCCGACGGAGGGAACGATCGTCGCGAGGCAAAGAGTTCATTTGGCAAAAGCAGGTCCAGCGCACGCGAAGAGTGCTTGCCCGCTTCTGGACGCAGGGGAGCCGAGGAGAGGCCCGGCTCCGCAGCGCTGGTCTCTGGCTGGAGCCTGGCTCCAGTTCCCTACAGTAGCATGAACCCGACCCAGCCCACTCGCGGGCGCTCGGCTTCAGCCGCCTCACCTGCCAAGCGCCCGGTCACGGCCCAATCACAGGCGGTCGCTGGACCGCGGCTGCCATGTTCCCTACTCCGCGCTGCCAATCAGTGTAGCGGCGGCCAATGGGCTGCAGGGCCGGGGGTCAGGTGACCGCGGGCCAGCTGGCTCCCCATTGGCGCGCGCGGCGCGGCCTCCCGCTCTGTTTATGTGAAAGGAGTGAGTGATTGACTTTATCAGTCCAAGGACATTACTCCGGAGGCGAGGAGGCTGGGACTCGCGCGGTCAGCGGCGCGGACCGAGCCAGCCTCCTTTCCACTGCACGCCCGCCAGTCGCTAGCCGGCTCTGCTCCTTAGCGCAGCCCAGCCCGGAGGCCCGTGTGGAGGGAACCTCCTAGCCCCGCGGCTTTGCTCTCGGGGAGAGGAGGGGTGCCTGGGACAGGACAGACAAACTCCGCCCTCCACTTGTTATTTTGCTTATTTTTCTTTGTGCGCGCCTTTTACTTTGTTAAACCAGATCTAGTCCCAGAGTCTTTCTCATCCCTTCCCCTCCCATTCTTCTTCTCCCCTCCTCCCTACTCCAGCTCCTTCTACTTCCCCTCCTCCCTCCTATCCCTCTGCAGGAGACTCGCAGCGACGGAAAGTTGCAGCCCCTGGTACTGCGTTGGGGGTCTCCCGGCAGTGTCCAACCGCCGCCACCCCTCTCCGACTACAGCACTTCAGAGATCTCCTTCACCTGCACCTTCGCTCTTTGCAGCCGGGTCGCCTGTGCCCAGAACGTCCCACCCATGACGATGCTCCTGGATGGAGGTCCACAGTTCCCCGGGCTCGGAGTGGGCAGCTTCGGCGCGCCGCGCCACCACGAAATGCCCAACCGTGAGCCGGCGGGCATGGGGCTGAGTCCCTTCGGGGACTCGTCTCACGCGGCGGCAGCGGCTGCCGCCGCCGCCTTCAAGCTGAGCCCAGCCGCGGCTCACGATCTATCTTCCGGCCAGAGCTCTGCCTTCACGCCGCAGGGTTCGGGTTACGCCAACGCACTGGGCCATCACCACCACCACCATCATCACCACCATCACCACACCAGCCAGGTGCCCAGCTACGGAGGTGCTGCCTCCGCAGCCTTCAGTTCCACGCGCGATTTTCTGTTCCGCCAGCGCGGCTCCGGGCTCAGCGAGGCTACCTCGGGTGGCGGGCAACACGCGCTCTTCGCCGGTTCTGCGAGCAGTCTCCACGCTCCAGCTGGCATTCCCGAACCCCCAAGTTACCTACTTTTCCCCGGGTTGCATGAGCAGAGCGCCGGGCACCCGTCGCCTACAGGGCACGTGGACAACAACCAGGTCCACCTGGGTCTGCGCGGCGAGCTGTTTGGCCGTGCGGATCCGTACCGCACGGTGGCCAGCCCGCGCACGGACCCTTATACGGCCGGCGCGCAGTTCCCAAACTACAGCCCCGTGAACATGAACGTGGGCGTGAACGTAGCGGCCCATCACGGAGCTGGCGCCTTCTTCCGTTATATGCGGCAGCCCATCAAGCAGGAGCTGTCGTGCAAGTGGATCGACGAGGCTCAGCTAAGCCGGCCCAAGAAGAGCTGCGACCGGACCTTCAGCACCATGCATGAGCTGGTGACACATGTCACTATGGAGCACGTGGGGGGCCCGGAGCAGAACAACCACGTCTGCTACTGGGAGGAGTGCCCCCGCGAGGGAAAGTCCTTCAAGGCGAAGTACAAACTGGTCAACCACATTCGAGTGCACACGGGCGAGAAGCCCTTCCCATGTCCCTTCCCGGGCTGCGGAAAGATCTTTGCCCGCTCCGAGAACCTCAAGATCCACAAGAGGACCCACACAGGTAAGAGGGAAGGGAGGCAGACGCGGGATTCACCGCGGCACAGCGCCAAGGAGCCAAAGGGAGGGGCGGCGTCTCTCCAGAGTCTTTTGGAAAGGAAGCGCTGTCACTGTCCCTCCATCTCTCGCCTTTCTCGCCCCTTGGCGCTTTTGCCCACTTCTAACTTTCCGGGCACATTGCTCTGCCGTCTCAGGAACTAATTGGAAACTTCTGGCGCCCAGGAAAAAACTGGCGCCGCCTCTTTTTGTCCCCCTTTCTGGGTTACTATGAAGGGACTCCGATTGTGTTGAGAGCGTATTGCTTACAAGCGATTTAGCTTTCGGCACACATTCGGGAAAGGCAACCATAGAAATGCTAATGAAAGCTAACTTTCGGTTACTTCCGCTTTTTTTTTTTACCCCCTCCTCTTTTTTTTTTTTTTTTTTACCCGTGATTGGCACATCTCCTAATTAAATGACTAATACTTTTGTCAAACTATTTTTATTTGGAGTTCCAGGTTCGATTCAGTCCTCCGGGAGGAAAGCTAAAATAGAAAAGGCATCACAGTTTCGTGGCTTGCTCAGAACATCTTGTAAACTGTCTGGAGTCCCTGGATTTATATAGTTTTCTTTCTGAACGTTAAGTACGACGACCCAAGCTTTTAATACTGAGCTTAGTAAAATCGCTGCATTTGAAAGAGGCAAATTAACAGGTACAAAGAAGGAACTGAACGGGATTGTCCCGTCCCGAGTCCATTGTGCCGCCCGGGATTAGTTACTTTGCCTAGGTAGTGCCAGAATGTGGCTGCGAGTTGGGAGCCCTGGGCCGGGTGGGGTGGAACTACAACTTAGGGGAAACTTTGGAGGAGCCCGGAGCTTTCCCATCCTGCGGGAGAACAAAGAGACCTGCAGGTTCTGAGCCAGCTGTGCCCCACCCCCGCCCACCACTCCCCCAAAATGTAGGCTCAACCAGCGCTCTCCATTTCTCTCCAGGGAAAAGAGATGCTGCCGCCGCCCCCAGTCGGCGCTCCCTCTCCTGGAAGATCGCCGGGCGCTCCGTCTCCAGCTGCTCGGCTCTAGGAAGCTTCCGACCCTGACCATATTTCCCTCCCTTTGCGTTTTTGCATTTTGCAGGTGAGAAACCTTTCAAATGTGAATTTGAAGGCTGTGACAGGCGCTTTGCCAACAGCAGTGACCGCAAGAAGCACATGCACGTGCATACCTCGGACAAGCCCTATATCTGCAAAGTGTGTGACAAGTCGTACACGCACCCGAGTTCCCTGCGCAAGCACATGAAGGTAATTACTTCTTTATTAGCGGTCGGCGGTTTATAAACACTCGGCCCGATATCGGGCTGCAGAACGGAAGCGCCCGCGCTACCAACCTTGTGTCCTCCACTTTAAATCCGATTTGCTCCAGCCGTGACACCTTGAACCCATTTTGGGGACCCGGAGGGGGGTGGAGGAGAGTGCTGTGGGGAGGAGGAGGGAGTGGAGGGAACAATTGGTTGTTTAGTGGGAAGCTCTAACCAAGCTCGCCAGGGCTTGAGGTTGTAGTGGCTCCTCTTCCCAGCTCAGCCCGCAGTAGGAAACCGGAGTGCCCGCGCCGAACCCGGGGTTGGGTGGTTCATTCGCTCTCCAGCTTCCCATAAAACAATAGGGCTGAAAAATGAGGTCTGATTCCCACGCATTTGTGTGAGACCTAGCAGCGCTTTGGGTGCTTGTGCCACCTTTCTCTGTACCTGCTTTCCCAAGCCAAACCGGGCTCGGTGAAACCTGGGTCCAGAGTATTTTATAGGGCCCCAAAGACTAAGTGCTTATCCCACTCCATCCGGAGAAAACATTTTTGAAGGGGCATGAATAAAACAATGCTTTATTATTTTTCCATATGCCAATATTAGGATTGAAACTTTTGTTGGTGAACATCTCCGGGGTTTCTAGACATTGGTAATATGGAAATTAAAAACAAACAAAATCAGCAGCGTTTCTCTTTTAAGTGGGTCACTGGGCGGTCTTGCTCTTACAGTGCTCGAATTCTGCTCTTGTTTTTGCTTGCACAATGCCAGTTGGAATTATATTCATTATAATATATACATGTTAATTTTAGGTTCATGAATCTCAAGGGTCAGATTCCTCCCCTGCTGCCAGTTCAGGCTATGAATCTTCCACTCCACCCGCTATAGCTTCTGCAAACAGTAAAGATACCACTAAAACCCCTTCTGCAGTTCAAACTAGCACCAGCCACAACCCTGGACTTCCTCCCAATTTTAACGAATGGTACGTCTGAGGACAAATACAAACACAAACCCTGTTAACCATAGAATGGACCAAATGCATTTTTAAAAGAAAACTGAGACCAGTCAAATGGAAATGGAGTTTTAAGGCAAGAGGCCATATATAGGGCTATATCTTGTTAATTGTAATTGTCCAGGAAGGTTTCTGGGTAAGATCCAAAAGTAGCCATGCCCTTTTCTCAGGATTAGGAAATATGTTTTCAAATGTGAAAGATGAATATATTTTCACTGCTTTTTCCTCCCCTTTCTCTTGCTCTGCACATCCCATTCCTAAACTCCTTCAGTTCATTTTGACATTTGTCCTGTATCTTGCGAGGAAGTTATAGAAGGCTTGGCGGTGGAGATGTTAAACTGATGAAAATTCTTCGCCTTAGTGGTGATTGTTTAAGCTCTCACAGTCTTAAACCGTGCCAAAGTCCTGTTATGTCTTGAACTTTTCCTCAAAGCATTACTCTTGTGAATGTATTTTTGTCTAATGGGGTCAAAACTGTTGTTCAGTATTTTTTTCAGGCTGAGGATGTGATGTTACTCTACACAGATTGTGACATTTAGTATACAGTTGCCTTTGTAATAACTTTTTTTGTAAATACATATCCATTGATGCCATATTTATCGTTGTAATTTAATTATTGCTACAAGTGCCGGGAACTGAACAATATTTATGGATAAATGTTTTCTAACAAATTCTGTACAGCTTTTGATTATAACTGCTTTAGCGTTAAATTTTATTGTTTTGAAAAAAGAACAAAACTTACAATTTTTGAACCACTGACTCCTTTCTCTTGTTTTGTAACAGCCTCCTTCAAAGAGGAGATGTGAGCAAATGAATCTTGTTTGTTGGTATTTATAACTCACTCAGATCCCTTTTTTAAATTGTTAAATTATTTTTCTACAGCAGTATAGATTCCTTACAGTGTCAGTTTCCACCTGGGAAGACCCTCCTTTCTTTATCTATAGCTCAGATGGTTCTTTAACTTCGAGTTTAAATGTGTTTGTCCCAGATTTTCGGCATGCAAATCAAATATTACTGATCAATTCAGTTAGTGGCCATGACATCTCAATCTTGTACTTCAAAGACTGAGAAGCTGGATTTAATCATCCCTGTCCTACATATATAAACATAAGGTAACCTAATGAGTTTTATGTCCCTTAGTTTTTTATTACCTTACATAAAAATGAACATTGCGGCAGGATGCATGTCTGTCTATTCTGTCGAGAGATCACCCATATACCCACATATGTTTGTATCTATGACTTATCTAATCTGTCTATCAAATCTATCTAGCTATCTATATATTTTCAAAAGTAAGCATATGCCTGAAACAGTGGTGATGAATAAGGCCAGTTGAGCCATGCTTACTTATGGTTAAAGTGCTTCTTAAAAAAAATAGTCCAGTTATAATTTTGGAAGGCAAAGGGATTTGTTTTGCTGTATATAATCAATTAATAATTTTCACAACTATTCATAACATTTTTATAGCAGTATAATAATTGAAGCAGTTCTGAAATTATATTATGGAAAGAAAAACATTTGCAAAATATGTATTTTTAAAGTTCATGGTTTGTAGGCAAAGATGTTAAGAGCATTGTTTCCATTAAAATCAATGACAATGAAAAATGGTTGTTTGCTTTGTGATAAAATATTAACAATCCATTTAATCTTCAGTGAAGCAACTCATTTGGACAAACAGTTCTTTTACATTTATATGAAAAAGAATCTGCTTACTATTTTGGGGGGTTGGAGTGGGTAGAATATTAAGAGACTTTTTTTAATAAATGAGGGTGCTGTTTATTATTGAGAGCCCAATCTCTGCATGAATAACCAGCTTGCAAATCAGTTAATAGAATGTTGGAGATAAGGAATTGTAAAGAATTTAGAAATGTAATGAATAGACGTAAGTACCTTCTTCTATTGAAGGGACAATACTCTAGGTTAATTTCTGGTGGCAGTCAATTTGGTATTATAAATAATCATTTTGAATTCTAGAATTCTGTTTATTGTTATTTTTGAAGAAATAAAGTCTTGGCACATTTTATTTATGTTATAACATTTTTGTATTTGGTGCCTGATTTTTTTTAAATGTTTAAATAAATCAACCTTAAATTGACATGCTCAGAAAACTGATGATTAAAAGAAATTTTGATTTCCTGGATACAATTGAAGCAGTACATTTTAAGTTCTCTACTGATGCTTGTCAACAGACAATTAATTATTGACCATTTCTAGTTGCAAATTCCTTTGGAATTTTTTGTTTGTGGAGAATGGGTTTTTTTGTTTTGTTTTGTGTTTTTTGTGGCACTTTCCTCGACCAGTAGAAAAGGCAACGACCTGAATGCCATGAACAGAGATTGGGATGACTTCACAAGTGATGAGCAGGTAACCTGGTCAGTCTACCATACCACTCCTACCCCAGACATTACACTCTTGACCTTGACATTGAGAGTGCTGGACCAAATTCCTTTTTCAGGATTTTTCCTTCACTTCAAACCAGAGAGTGTTTTAAATGCTCAGCAAATTTTCAGAAAATGTGTATTCATAAGGCTGGCTGTGAATATGTTCAAATTGAAATTGAAATAGAATAGCTTTTTCTGAAATATTAAGTGAACTTCAACAGTTTACTGTTTATTCATGGATTTCTTCTCCACCCCACCTTAAACCTAACCTTAAGTGGAGTAGAGTGGTGGGTTGGATGCAAGATTCCCAGAAATTTGCTTCTCCTGACCTCATTACATATATTAAGTATCTTCTTAGGAGGCATAAAGAAGAGTTTCATCTTTCCTGAGTAGGCTTGAAATTTTTTCCAAAGATTTTACTGTAAAGCAATGTGTCCTAAGAGGAGAAAATGCCAATTAACAATGATGATAACAGTATTGAGAAAATGTAAAAGTTTTGCTCCCTACAGAGTTTCCTCTAATTTAGGTGTAGCATCATATTTCTCAAATAGTCTATGTCCTCTGCCCTTGTCATTTTTTTTTCACCAAGAAAAGCTTATTTTGCTAGTAGGAAACTTTTCACAGATTCTCTTCCTATAATCTGACTCTGGGGGTGTACATTTACATTCTTGAATTTTCAGAAAGTATCTTAAAAGAATAAGCACCCTCCTCCCCAACAGACAAAACCTTGCAACCCTAAAGATGGATCAGCTGGAAACCAGGAATGTTTGTTAGGCTCTAAGTAATCTGCCTCTAATTTCATTCTTGCTCCTGGAAGACCTTTGTTAACAAAGTCCACTATCTTCCAAAATGGGTGGTTTAGCTTAAGATTTATACTGTTGGGTGGGGAAGGGGGAGGTGTATACTTCAACGCAGACAGAAGTTTGTCCTTCATCCAGTTTGGAAGGTTAAAGATCAGGGTCCAGGCTAAGCAGGGTAGTCACTCTTCGCTACCTTCCAATGTTGGAGAACCAGCGGGGACAGCGTCTGCTCACAAAGCCTCGCAGGAAAGTTTGGTTCAGGGCTTCCTTACCCCTCCCCCTTCTCGCCGTTTGCTGTCTCCTTCGCCCCTGGCTCCCTCCCCTCCCTACTATAACTACTGCCCCCGCCCCGCGTCCAAACAAACGAAAAAAGTTTAAGGGCCTCTTTCCACTTAAGTTTCTCAGAATCGCCACCGGCGTGCCCAACCCCTGAAGATCGGTTCTCTGTTTGGTAGCTACGCTGATTTTTTTTCTCTCGAGATATCTGACCCTCGAGGCTCAACTCTGTAGTCGGGATTTGCTCCGCGATGAAACCAGGAGTTCTGGAAGGCAGAGCTCCCGCTCCGCTGTCTTTTAGGCCCCTAGTCGGGGCGCCCAGGTTCTCTGTCCATACAAGTCGAGGCTGGGGCCGGGGGCGAGGGTTCCTCATTTCCTATGGTCAATTCTCTTTCGGTCTCGGCCAGCTGACCCTTTGACCTCCACCTACAGGGCCCTTGGCGGCCGTAAGCCAGCAGTCGCCTGGGCTCCGAGGGCGCTTCGCGCCCCATCGCCTCCCGGCCTCATTAGGCCGGCGGGGCTGTAAAGCAGGAATGAGCCGCCGCCTAATCCGGACCTGGGGTCAATACGAGTCCAAACAATGGTGAGCTCTGAAGGCCACGGCGTAGCACTGGCCACAAACTTTGTGTTCCATTCATTCTCTTACGGCGGGGGTGGGAGAAGGAAGGCACTTGTACACCCAAAAACTGTTCTTAGTTCCCGGGGCTCTTACGTGAGTGTCCTTTACCTCGGCCCTCCGGTCCTTAGCAGTGTTAGGGATTGGAAGGGGTGGCGATGCCTGGGGCCTGGTTGCAGGCCCGTGCGGGAATCTGCCCCTGCGGGGAGAACAGACTTTGAAGTGAGTTTTTAGCGCGCACGTGTGAGAGCCGGATCTGGACCGAGCAGGGCCCGCTGACAGAAAAGAGGAGGCTCCATCCGGGCCCAGACCCCTCCCCCGCTCCCCGTAGGTCGAGCCTTTTCAAACCACTGCTGGGGGCCAGCTGCCCCCTCCCTACTCCTGCACCCTCGTCCCGCGCAGGCGCACACCCCACAGCCGTCGGGTCGGATTTTGCTGCGAGGTGGTGGGGGGCAGAGTTGAAAGCGGCTTTACATTGCCGTAGCCTCCGCTGAGCCGCGAGGGAAGAGAAAAGAGGCATGTGGGAAAAGGGGGGGTCGATTTTGGGGCGGCTCTTGAGTCGTGAACATGGCGGCCGGATGCGAACCCCCGCGGAGTGCAGCAAAGCTCAGACCGCGAGCTGCAGAACTGTTGTGTGGTTTAAACTCTCTTGTTATTCCCCAGCTCAGTGCCTCGCAGGAGAATGTAGGTCGTGGTGGCCAAATGCATTTTTTTTTTAAAGAAACGGAAGCACAGAACTTCTTTCAGGGCATTTTGGGAGTGAGAAGTGGCCGAGCCTTCTGGGGGTTGGGTTTCTCAGGGGGACTTGGACGTGAAACCCGCCAAAGGACGACCAATCCTTCCGTCCCGACTTAAAAGAGCCGCCGCACCCCCACTTTGGGCTCAGGCCCTCCTGGGTGGGGAATGC